GCATTGCGATGCGCACCTAAAGCCCCTCCCAACTATTCAATGTCGTGAGATATTGAAATTGAATAATTTGTAGCCAAACACACATGACTTAAATCTACGAACAAATTGATATTACGCCAAATTCGCAGTACCCGATTTAACACGAAGTCTTTTTCACCTCCCATCAGCATATTCTTTTTATTGCAATTATGTTAAATCAGTCATAAACTTCTTTTTTTACCAATTGAGTGTAAACATTTTCGCGTTTTGTAAATTATTTTCATCCTGCCTATTTTAGTCGTAAATTGCTGTAGCTAACCACAAACTTTCTCGAACCATTTCGCAGCATCTTCCACACGCTCGTGGTGGTTTCGGGTCCGAGTGAACATCAACCTTTCGAAAGCAACCATACATTCAATGGTCAAGAGAGGCAACAAGAAAATCTCCTCCAAATCGCGCCACACCCCCCACCCCCCCGGGAGGGGAGGACCACCACGACAGCAAACACGTTGCAGCGTTGTCCTTTACCACGACTGCATTAATGTGATGTCAAAGCAGCATCGTACCGATCGTGCAAGCTCGGACGGGTGCTTCGCCAACGTCTCGACAAACCCTTCTTCTTCAGGATTCGACAGGTCGTGAATCGCGTGAAAATAGTACGGTCGAGGTTTTGCATGCCTGAGACTTTTTACGGCGAAATTATGACAAAGTAAACATGATTATGGCGGGTTATATGCATGGTCAAAAGAAGTAAATTATGGTTTAGGCCATTTGCAACTGCTTTAACTCAAAGAAATTGCAAATTAGTGTCAGAAAGCTAAAGTAAAGTATTAATCATGCGACCATACTAAAATCACGACGTAATTATAGTCGACAAAAATAATAAAAAAATAACTTTAAATATCTATGAAATTTAGTTCAAGCGCACGAATATATGATGATCCAAATTCATAGTACAAATGAGATATAGAGATTGCAATCACATAAAAAAAAGGTCATGGACAAAGCTCTCAGTTTTTAATTATTTGTATTTCAATTTAAGCATTTAAAATTAAGAAGTTGAGTGAGGTAGGAAACTTTGAGGTATTCTGCTGTGTAATGGATTTGTTAGGTATTATCAAGCTCAAATTTGTTTAAGAATTGAGTGTCGTCAAACTCTATAAAATAGTGTCATCAAATTCATATCTATGAAGAAAATTTATAGTTATTAAAGCAAATTTCCAAGTTGAGTGAACATAAAGTGGCATAACTCTTTCAGTCTTTCTTATAAGGGTTAATCCCATAAAAAATAAACCTAAATTTTGCTTCGTGGACACCACCATCCCACACCTTTTTCTTTTTGTCTCACTGATAGCCCTAAACTTGTACGAATGACCCAAAAATAGCCACGATTCCGTCCATAATGGCTACTTAAAATCCTATGTGACTTTGTTGACATACGCTGCAAGGTTGCATGAGTAGCGGCCATTACGGATGGAACTGTTATGAAAGATATTATGGATCATGGTTGATACCGCAAAAAATCCCAAACCGATACACCTACAAAAAAAATCACAAACTAATACACCTGAAATAAACGAAGGATAAAACCCCAAACTGGTATATTTGTCAACTGCCATGTATTATTTAACTAATCAATTTTACAGTAAAATTTAATAGAAACTAACGAAAGGAAAATTTGTCACAGGTGTATTAGTTTAGGGTTTTTGGTGGTTACAAAATTAGTTTTTGGTAAATTTATCACGGGTATATCAGTTTAGGGTTTTTCTTAGTAATAAGCATTTGGATTATTGGTACACATTTTAGAGTATATGTGAGACGAGTGGGGTGTTGGTGTCCCACTAAAAAGAGTTTAGTGTGTACACATTTTAGAGTATATGTGAGACAGAGTGGGGTGCTGGTGTCCCACTGAAAAGAGTTTAGTGTTTTCTGTGGGATTCTCCCTTCTTATAACTATACTAGAGATATATAGAGGACGTTGTTGTATGTAGGAAGGATCAGTTCCGAGGTGAGTCAATTATCGGTCTAGAATTGAGAATCTACACTGTGACCCTCAGTTCCAATTGGGAATCAAGTGGCCAATTATATTTTGGGTAAACATCTTGCAATAGAAAATAAAAGTTGCACGATTGGATTATAAAAGCATTCCTTGGCCAAGTGCTTATTTGATCATGTTGAAGCCCATGGTTCAAATTTTGATGATTACAGAGTGTTTTTTTTTTGAGATCCTTCAAATCGGTTCAACCGAAATCGAAGCGGTTCCGATGTTGGAGCAATCGAAAAGGACAATAACAAATTAATGAGATATAAATTATGGTCCCCTTGAACCTACCGTCACCTCAACAAGGAGCTTGATCAAGCGAGGTTATAAGCGCACTTTTTCTTTCTTACTTTCTTAAAGCGGTTACATTATACAATAGTTTAACGAAAATTAACGTTTTTTTTAATAATATTTTTCATTTATTAAAGGAGAAATTATAAAAAAGATCATAAATCTATTGCAATTGTCTCAATTTAGTCCTAAATATTTTTTTAAACAATTGAAACGTAAACCTTTTGCACTTGTGCCAAATCAGTCTTTTTGACCAATTTTGGCCGGCCAGCACTAACGTGAATGCCAATCGTCTTACATGGCACAGCTGGCGCTGACACGTACATTTTTATTAATATTTTAATATTTTTCTAAGTATTTTTTTTCTTTTTCCTTTTTTTCTTTTCTTTCTCTTTTTTTATTTTTCCCTTCCTTCTTCCTCCAGCCGGTCGTCAGACCTCGACAACTGGCCAAAGGCGAATTGTCGAAGTCAACCTCGCCGTCTTTAGGTGAGGTTCGACATTGCCATGGCAAGGCAAGCTCTCGCCAGGGTTGGGTGAGGCTTGCCGTTGCTAGCTGATGGTGACTTCGAGCCTGGCCATGGCTGGGCGAGCCCTCACCAGAATTGGCGAGGCAGAGCCTCCCCCAGCCATGGCCAAGCCGAGCCTCGCTTAGCTACGGTGAGGTCAATCTTGCCGATCCTCGCCTCTGCCAGTCGCCAGACCTCGGCAATCGGCTGGAGGAAGAAGGAAGGCAAGAAGGAAAAAAAAGAGAAAGAAGAGAAAAAAAAAAAGGAAAAAAAAAGAATAAAACAAATTCGAATAAATATTAAAATATTATTAAAAAAATGTCTACATCAGCGTCAGCCGCACCACGTAGGATGGCTGTTATCCACGTCAATGCCGACTAGCCAAAACTGATCGAATGGACTGAATTGGAACAAATGCAAAAGGTTTGTAACTCAATTGGTAAAAAAAAATGATTTATGACTGAATTGACACAATTACAATAGATTTAAGACTTTTTAATTCTCCCTTTATTAAATAGTGTTAAAATGGGTCTTTAACAATGGTTATATACGCTTCATTTTTTCTAGTTTCTGTTCTATCTGTGTGGCTATTTTCTTCAAAAGGTGTCCACTTGCTCTAAAGAAATGACAGGACATAACATTTATAACTCATTCCAATCTATTTTAATGTAAATCCCCTTTGCGAAGTGTTCGAATATTTTAACATAGAATTTAGGTAATTTGTGCTCCACCTTTTTCATGGATTGAAACTACCTAAAGTAGGCACGGCTAGTTCGAATCTAGGGTTTGTGCTCTTGTTTTAGTTTCAGCTTTTCCAATTATTCAGCTGGTTTTCGTGTCTCTTGTACTCTCTGGCGGTTCGAAACCTGGTCTATCTCCTACGGTGTACTTCCTGTGATTTGTGTCTCACCTTCATTGGCCAAGTCTAGGTTGGTCCATCAATGTATTCTTGATCATCTTTGGACGCTCTATTTCGATTTTTCTTCCCACTCCTTCATTGAATCCTTTGTTGGGCTTCGATTTGTGCAAACCATATGCAATGTAACATAACAATTGAACCAGTCTAGTTTAGTCCGTGTACTTTTGAATTTGACAAACCTCAATATTGGTAATTCAATAACTTTCACATGTATAATGTAAGGACAACCGGTCCCTTTCCAACACATATTTCGGCAGAAATGATTGCAAATTCGACGCAATAGACGTGCCCATGTTGCTGACGTCTTTAACTTTTAAAGAAGAAAGGATTAAGATGTTTAATTACTTTTATCTCTCAATACTAATGTGGTGAAGCATACAATAAATAAGGACTTAGAATAAATTAACTAAAAAATTATTAAAAAGATACCAACACCAAGCATGAATTTTTACCCGAGACCAAATACGTACTTCTACTTTTGAAAATACATGTTTGCACCTTTAGTTTCAGCTCTATATACCCATTCGTATGATATTCGTAAATCATTAGTCTCTTTAGTTACAAAATGCCATATTCATTCCCAAAATACCCTTACCCACATTCCAAGATTTCCCACAGTCAACCAAACTCAGCCATAACCAACCGTCGTCGCCGCCGTACATCATCACGCCCACTCCGCCGCTCTCCCTATTGATCGCCGATGCCCTGTCCCTCACTGTTTGCATCCCTGTTCTCTCTCTCCTCAGCATTGTTGCTTTGCTCGCCGTGCCCTCTCCTCATTCTCTCCCTCCCTCTCTCTCACACCTAGGAGGCCTGCCAATGCCGAAGGCAGCCTTGGCAACATCACATCTAAGGTCACTGCGGCCATCGCGACCTTGCTTTGAGGTCGCCGAACCCCCACTACCTCGGATCAAGGTCGTGGAAGCCAAGAACGACCTTGCAACCGAGGTCATCCATGGTCGTCAGTTCAAGGCTGTAGCCAAGTGGCGACCTCGATGTGAGGTTGTTGACGACCACGGCGACCTTGCTTTGGTTGGTTCGAGCGATGTGGCAATGCGACTGGGTGAACGAAGCAAGGGAGGCTTTGTAGAGAGTGAGAGAGATGAGCTGGCAAGAGATTAGATTGGACTGGATAGATACAATTAGGCGTGTGCAACCGGACCAATTCTACTAGGGAACCGCATCAGACCGCCCCAAAACCAAGTCTCGGAACCGGTTTCCAATTCTAAATTTTTGGGACTGGTCCGGTTCTTGGCTCCAAGCGAAAGACCCACCCGGAAACCAGATCGGCCGGACTAATTTTTGAACCGGTTTTTAGTAATAGTAAAAAAGACCGTAGTTTCTCTAAAAAAAAATTTGGTCGGAAGTTTCTCTAAGTTGAGTAAGCTCTAACCTCAACCTCGCCTCCTCTGTTTCTCCATTTTCATTGTCGCCTCTCTCTCTCTCTCCCAGCAAGCTAGCAACCCCAACCCTAGCTCCACCGTAGGAACCCTCACCACCGTCGTCGCCAGTCGGTCCGCCTTTCGCTATTGCCACCATCAGTGCCATAGGAGAACCCAACCCAGCTCGTTGTCGCCACCATCACCTCTCGTTGTTGCCTCTCTTTTGCAGCTCTACCGACTTCTATTTGCGGCCTGTCTTTGCTGTCAATGTGCCTAGCCAGCCGATTCTCCAATGGAAACAAGGTGAATCTCGTTCCTCCTTTGTGTGTGTCTCTGGCTTGCCGATTACTTTGATGATTGTTTAGGGCTTTCACACGATCAAGTCTCCAAAACCATACGTTTCTGGCGAGTTCGGACGCACCACTTAAACAGGGATTTGCTCTTGGTTCCCCATTTTCTAGTCTCGGGTTTGATTCAATTGAATCTAGTCACGATAGAAATGCGATTATAAATATTTGCCCTTAATCCTTGGTTAGGTTGGCCATCATTCACTAGTTGAAACCTTCTTTTAGCTGCTTCCTTACCAAACTCATTCTCTTTATTTTTTTTCTAAAGCAAAGCAACACCATTCATATAGAAATTCCGGACCACATCTTCTATAGGTGGACTTCCCAATGTGAGAGTGATTAGTTTAATATATTAGCCGAGCCTTTTCTTCATATACCATAATGCAGTCGAAAATATTAGGATAACACAGAATGCTCCTTGGTCCTACATTGTTGTATAATTTGTTTTTAGTAGAAACAAGATCGTACTAATTATATTCTGCTTTTTTCATTTTGATATGAAGTTGATAGATCAAGACATATCAATGGAAGTGGATGGATATGATGAAATGAGTCTGCTAATGGATTAACTATGTTGTTTGTTTTGTTTTCAAGTGGTTAGAATTTGGAGAAATAATTTTATGTATGAATAAGGGATGATGTTTTATAATTTATGTTTTATGTTATGTGTTTGTTATTGTTAATAATTGTACATGACTATGTGTTCATCTTATGAATTGTTGATTTTGGCGGACATGGATTTTTGTTGTTTATCTTTTAATGTAAATCATTTTTTACTGCTCATATTATTTTGTTGCAAAAAATGAAACTAGAAAAGGGAACAAAAGAAAAACAAGTTCTCGAGTAGACCTTGGAACCGGACCGGAAAAATAGAGTAGGTTCCAGAACCGATTCCGGAGAAAACATGGTAGGTTCTAGGATCCAAAAACTAGGAAGTGGTTATAACACAGTAGGTTCCAGGTTTTATGTCTGGAACCTACCCACCCTTAGACACAGTAACAGGAGGATGCAGCAGTTGGCAACAATGGATATAAATGTGATGGACGGGCGGCTAGTAGGGACGTTAGTCAAAGGACATGGGAGACGGGATTCTTTCAAGGGGCCAATTTGGTCTTTTTCATGCCGGGGGTGTTGTCGAGCAGCATGAAAAATATATTTTAAAAAGTAGAGGTATGAAAGTGATATTGAGATAAAAAGCGACGCATATTTTCGGTATGTTTTCTTAAGAGAAAAACAAAAAAAAAGTTGGGCTCTCACTACTTTTTCTCTCTCTCTCTCTCTAGCTACACCAACTTTTCTTCATGTGGGAGCATTCTACAATTCTACATTGGAGGCCCCCTCCGTCGGTCGGTGTAATGAAAGCGACACAAAAGTTTGACAGAAACGCAGCCCCTAAAAGAAGTCATAATTTCGTTTGATAAACATTCTAAACATGCACATTTTCGAGAAAATCGGCTTCGATTTGGCTGACCAAATAGGCTATAGTAGCTACTACGAGAGCTTAGGGTTAACATTAGGAAAACCCCCTCCTAGGATCTGTCGATTGTCCCATTAAAAGACGTGAACTAAATTTGGAAATTGACATGGTTCTTTCCATTACGTTTCTCCATATCACATCAAACGCCACGAAATTCAAGTGCTCTTGGGGTTATATTTGGTTTTGCTTGTCCATTGTTCTTTGTTACAATTTCGGAGAGGAAAACAATTGGGCTCTTGCCTCCTATTGATCGATGTCGAGAATTCCTACTTTGTACGTTATAGTGGAAATTACATTTTTGGTCCAGTAGTTTTGGGGAATTCAAATTCTAAGAAAGTTTGGCTCCTTTTAGGTCAAATGCTTGATTTTGTGATTTCCGAGCTTCCAAATCATCTAATTTACTTATAATTGCATTCATTTATATGCTATTAGTACTTGAGAAAGATTAGAGCAAAATTTGAGGGCGATAAGTTCATTCTAAATGAAGAACTTCCCATTCTAAGAAAGTTTGGCTCATTTGGGGTGAAATGCTTGATCTTGAGGTTCGAACTTGCAAATCATCTAATTTACTTATAATTATGTTCATTTGAGAAAGATTAGAGCAAAAGTTGAGGGCCATAACATCATTCTAATTAAAGAATTTCCATGTGCTATATTCCAGCAAAAATTTAAATTCCTTCATCGAATTTCCAGTCAAAACTTACCATAATTTTTGCTAATTAATCAGCGTTGATTACAGATATGTGAACTCCCTCAAAACTACAGGGACCGAAAATGTAATATCCCCTGAATTACATCTATATGCGTGTGTGATTTTGATTTTGTGATAGCCAATCACAGTTTATCATAGATGGGGTAGCAACCAAAGATGGCTCCCTCAGGAACTTCCTTCCATGATAGCTTTGTTGGGAAAATTACAGATTTAGTCTCATATCTATTGTACATATGCCAATTCAGTCCTCGATTTTTCAATTTTGCCAATGTAATCCCAAACCTTTGTACGAAACTCCAATGTAATCCTTCCGACCAATTGCCATCAGAAATCGCAGACGTGGCAATCCACAAGTTGTCCACACCAGAATGCCACATAGGACGGTAATCAATAATTGAATGCCACTGGCAATTTCCAACGGTAATTTATCAGAATAACTATATTGAAATTTCACATAAAGATTTATGACTACACTGGCAATCGAAAAGTTTAGGGCTGAATTAGCATATGCAAAATAAGTTTATGGCTGATTGGGTAATTACCCCCAGTTTTGTCGGTATCGAGTCTCCTATTATTCATAGTTCCTAAAGTGGCTGTGTACTAGTCCCTGTCTGATCCCAAGACCCCATCCATACCAAAAGAAGTGGGAAAAAAGAAATGTGGAAAAGCTGGAGGCACTTAAAGAATAGGGTGGGGGGGAAGCCTTTATACTCACGACAAAGGAGGGGACCAGATAGCAACATTGATACTTGGCTTCACATAATGCTCCGAGTGTTCCAATGGCTTCAATGTCACAACCTAATTCCTGACCATGCATTATAGCCGTCGCTATCTCATCATCTCCATCATCCCTCCTTTGCTCTCTTTAGGGTTTTGCCATGGAAGCCCAGTGATTCACCTGCTGTTACTTAATCGAGTGAAGCTCGGAAGAGATGAATATCGAGAATTCATGGTCTTTGCTACCGTTTCAGCATAAACGAAACGAGAATTTGTGTCTTGCCAAAAGCCTAAAACCTATCCCAATCTAGAACTTCGTAGGTATGCTCTCCTGTCTTTTTAGCATGTAACAGCTCTCGGTTCTGCTTCACTTTTATGTCTTCATATGAATAAAAGAGAACGTCGAAGCCGAACTCCACAATGTCGAAGAACACGAATACGGTCCAGAGACATCCCAATTTCGATTCTAAGGAGGGCTGAGGAGATCGATGATAGGCAGAATCGGGAAACCAACAGCAACATATGTGCTTTGCAAGAAAAGTCGTTGAAACGGAACTAGCCAAAAAAAGGGAACAATCCCGAAAACGCAAGAAATTGTTGCATAGTCTATAGATATGTGTGCTGATTATATCATATGAACAATTAATCATGTGCATCTCAGTATAAGGATCCATATGATCAATGATTCAAATGAATTTGGTCTACAGGATACGTAGATCATGCAGCATTTCTTTTTTTTTTCCTCAAAATCCTCATGAGCTCAGATTAAGGTTTTGCGGGTGTCGATCATGTGGAAGATATTCATTTAGCCTTAAGTTACCCACAAATAAAGTTATGTCACTTTCATGAAAACCCTATAACAACACCTAAGCAAAAACAACTAAAACCTAACCATTTAAATCTCTCTCTCTCTCTCTCTCTCTCTCTCTCTCTCTCTGCACGTCCAATGACAATAACGGTGCCAATCAACACTTAGCACCTTTGTTGATGGCCAAGTTAGGGCTACGGTCCGCCCTTCAGATCGAAGCTCCGCCGTCCTTCAATGAAGCAGATCTGGCTTTGTCGAGGACGATAGAGTTAGGTCCTGCTCCATCCAGGAGGGAGGGAGGGAGCTCCGCGATCTAAAGTCTTTGCCCATGGCGGCGTTCGTGACCTAAAAGCGACACGATTGCAGCGATGATTGGCAGGACCGAGTGGTTCAGATGGTCTGCCAAATGGACTCCTCCAACTCGGGGAGGGATGCCAAGCTCATTCCGCAATCACTTTGCGGTTCCGCGCTCTCTAAGTAATCGTTCCACTGTCTGGAACCTAACCGATAGCAAAGCAATATCATAGCATTTCTCTAAATTGTGATCTCATTTGTTTCGATTTGGATTCGGGTTAGAGATTTTCCCGACCCCGTAAGTTTTTGTTTGGATTGAAATATGGTCCAAAACGAGCCGAATCAAACCACGGACATGAGATTTTGGTCGTACCGGGTCGGGAATGAAAATCTGGAAAACACATGTTAACCCCATGCGAAAGATCCAACATCCTTGCTCGATTCAACCTAAGATCTGGGTTGGGGGAGACTAGAAAGTCTTCTTGCAGATCCAATTGGACGCAATGCAAATCGAGGTAATTCCAATAAAAAATTTTAAGGATTTGTGAAGCCCTAATAATTTATTGTTTACATTGGTATAAGGCCCGTTTATACTATCATCATTGTCAATTAGGCCCACTTTGGCCCATAACATATAAGCACCAAGCGTGTTTGGCTCGTTAACCCTTCTTCATATACGTCGAAAATTGCAATATCAATGAAAAATATTTTCATCACCGATAATAATTTATGTCTAAAAATTTTCGTGGATAATAAAAATAGTTATTGTTTATTCATTTTTGTAAGCGATATAAACAATCATATTTCGAAAAATATTTTTTAAATCATTCTTTTTTCACGAAACAAATAGAGCCTTAATCTTTCTATATACTAAATTTCCCATTTTTTCCTCTCCGCGAAAGGAGAATAAAAGACAAGATTCTGACAAATCAATAGAAGGTATGGGCATTCTGTACGATGGGTCTTGTAATGAGAATTTCTAAGGTGCACTAGTGTATCATACTCATTTTTTCAACTATATGTATACTTGGTTACAACGATTAATGTAACATCGTAGATCAATTTTACAACGTTCTTGTGCTTAATTACAACGACATTATTGTACGGTACAGCCGAGATACCGTAGAAGTGCATGTCTCATATTTGAGTGGGATCGACTGAGCATACTTAAGTTTCCAGTTTCATTTTATGCAGCTTTAAATTTTCACATGCAGTGTGTATTTGACCTCTTCTTAAAATTTCAATTTGAATTTTAAAAGATAAGTCGAAAAGGTATGTCAATTCCAAAAATTTTATGTACGGAATGCAATCGAGTAACGAATTTTTCTTTTCTTCTTTGCCAAGGAACCATTATTTTTTCAATTGATGCAACCAATTTCTAAACTCCTTTTCTGAAGCGCAATCAAGCCTTGTTGGCCATCATTTCTGCATTTTCTCACACATTTCCATCTCTAAGATTGCCACTTGAACGATTGACAGTATTGATATCCATTAGACTTCCTCAACTTTTTTAAAAAGTTCAACACTTGGTGGTACTAAATGAAAGATTCATGATCAGACATTTCCTATTCAAGATTTAAAATGGCAAAAGGACACTATAAGTGCCATAACTTGTGTACGGAGATCACTTTGGTGCCATAACTTTTTTTCGGATCACTTTGGTGCCAAATCGGAAGAAAACGTTCATTTAAGTGTCATAAGTTTTTTTGAATCACTTCGCTAAAATTTTGAAAAACGATCACTTAAGTGCTAAATTTTTAAAAACGATCATTTAAGTGCTGAAATTTTGAAAACGATCACTTAAATGCCAATCTCCGCGAGCCTCCGTGAGCCACGTCGCTTTAGAAATTAATAAAAAAATGCCACGTCGGATTTCCGGCGAAAAATTGTGTACGGCACCGGAGTTGGCACTTAAGTGATCGTTTTCAAAAATTTTAGCACTTAAGTGATCGTTTTTCAAAAATTTTAGCACTAAAGTGATCCAAAAAAACTTATGGCACCAAAGTGAGCGCCGTACACAAGTTATGGCGACTTTGTAGTGTTCTTTTGCCGATTTAAAACTTTCGACGAACTTTTCTCGGAAAAACACTCCACTCATCTGAAACTCCACTCATCAAACTAGTGAACACTGAAGACGATGACCGAGGTTGCGATAATACGATGAGGTTCCGCTGTTGTTGAACGGAAAAGGGGAAAAGGTAAAGACAGAAGAACTGCAAACCAACTACACAGATTTCTATTGCTCGTCTCTTATCCTCAGTATCCACAGATTCTGGCAAATGCAATGCGAAACATCCAGAAAGAAGGAAGAATCAAACACTTTCTTAATTTTCCCCTTCTTCATGAAAGCAAATATCTACCTTTCTGTACATATATAAACCCAATTTGAAAATCAAATAAAAGAGCTGAATACCTAATGCGGCAAACCATGTACCAACAATGCTTCTGGTGCAGGAGATGTGCTTCATTCGTTGAAAATTTATAGTGATAAAATTCTGCAGACTTGCACAAGAGATGCTAAATGCTGTTTGCGGAACGAGATGAACCGGCACGGCTGCTTAGATCAGAGAGATCTTTCTTCAACATAGCCTCCAAGTTCTGGAAGCATTTCAAGGGCTGAAGCTACGTGCGGATGATAAGCCACCGTCAGTCGGGCCATAGCGATAATTAGTGTTCAAGGAAAAAGGGAAAAGATATATATCCTGCCTCCATAAAATAAAAGAGCAGTAATCTACCACCAAAGAAAAAAATTAACAGTCTAGGGTACAAAGTTCCCTAAGATATCAAGGAAAGGTTTATTAATTATTTTACTGAGGCCCAAATATGTTCTTGAGGAGGAAAATTAAAGAAAAAGAGCGGCACCTTGACATTACTACCCTCAGACATCAAATGCATCAACGACTTAGCATTTTGTTGACAAATATGATGTAGAACGTATGTGTAATTTCTTCGATTCCTACTACAGTAATAGCAAACAGCACTCGCATGAATAAGTCTGTGTGTGCGCGCGTGAGCGAGAGAGAGAGAGAGAGAGAGAGAGAGAGAGAGAGAGGAGGAGAAGGCAGGGACCTTCCATCGCCTCTTAATGCCCTGATTGCGCTGAATATGCTCCAGCTTTGATATTATCTGCTTGAATGTTGGTCGTTTGGCTGGCTTCTCATTCCAGCATTCCTCAATCAGCCTGCCACAAAAGGCCAGAATTCCACTTTAAAGTCAACCAATAGAAGACTGAGGACATCAACTCAAACAGCCAATACCACATACTTGCAATAAAATGAGAGACACTTACTCTTTAAGCCCATGCGGATAATGCTTTGTGGGAGCTCTAAATGGTGGACGATCTTTGGAAGCATACGCTTCAACAGCTTCAGTTTCTTTCTTCGCAGAAAATGGTAGGCATCCCTCTATCATCTACAGGATATTACAAGTAGACTTATCATGCATGGGCTACAAGAAGACCTCAGAATGGCTAAAGGCTGCCCCTCTAAAGTACATTCAAATAACTATTGTGCATGAAAGTCACTGAATGGAAAAGAGGGGATTTGCAAAGGGAAGATTTCACTTTCCATGAATTGATAAAGCAAGAAAGTTGAAGAAAGAGCATTCACTGCATAGCCATTCAATTCCCGCTCGCATCTTGTAGGAACACTTGTTATAGTAAAAGAAGTTGAAAATATCCAGATCTCTTTTTAAAAAAGATAAACCCTAAAGCTGCATCTGATTGGTTTAAACTTGTACTATGTAGACCGTTACAAGTCTTTGATTGCACGAATAACACGACGAGGAATTACTCTTTCTCCACACCAGATAAATGGGACAGTGAGTGCAAAAGAATTACCTATCGTCATTTAAAAAAAGTATCACAAACAATAAGCGTAATTGCTTGCTATCCTCTCATGATTCGTACTGCTCACAGGCTATCACACATTATTCTCAGGTAAAATGGCTCTATCATTTTACATTGGGAATAATGGCTTTAAAAATATAGCATGCTAAGTATAATGCCATCAAGCATATGAGAATGCACTAGCCTCAGTTCTACTATTCATAAGCATTATTATGATTACAGGAGAGCGACACTTTCTAATCCTAATCACATATTTTTTAAGCATAAAAACCTATCTCCAATAGTGATTTGATCTCTAAACGTTCCTCAGCCAAGAATCATCACTTTCATATTTGCAGTTTCCACAGCTTCTCTTTAATAAATTCATAGTGTTATCTCCTCATTGTTATTTCCTGAGAGACTCCTTACTAGCTGAACCAAATCATACTACTTAATTTGTCATAGAGCATTCAAGCTGGCTTCTTTACCTCCATGACCACTATCAATTCAAAAGGACAAGTTTCTGCTATACACTGAAAAAATGGTACTTATAACCACGAGATTCTTTTATACACTGAACATATTATGCCTTTGTCCCAAAGCAAGTTTCTCTGTAACTACAAGAAACTATGCCGCAAACAGAACAGAAAAAAACCACTATTCTTGACTCTTAAAACCACAATTAAAGGAGATTATCTTTACCTCTTGCAGAATCAAAGCAAATGAGAAGACATCTACTTTGGTATCATACTGGTCCCTTTTGAAAACCTCTGGTGCAACATAGCGACCTGACAATTGCTTTCAATGTTTAGATTGAATCTCCAATCCAACTAAATTACTAATCATAGCAGAAATTCATTAATCATCCTCATAAAGAAGACTCACAAGATGTATCTTGACATGTTAAAGGTCTGTCTTCTTTGCCAGTCAGCAGCTTGCTAACTCCAAAATCTGCAACTTTTAGATGTCCAGCATCGTCCCTGAGTATATTTCTGTTCTCTCACATGTAAAACAACAGATAAAAGCTCTGAATATCAGATACCAAGGAATATTGACTTGATATGACTACAAAGAACTAACACTATATTACACACTAATATCTATTTTATGCACCAAGGTGAGGAAAAACTCACGAAGGTTCAAGGTCTCGATGGATTATCGCTGGTTTGTTCTCATGTAAATAGTTCATTCCCCTGCAAATTTTGCAAACGGCATAGTTAAATGATCGCAATTAATTCAACTACTGTGCAAAGAAAAAGGTTCAGTGAGGCAATTATCTATGTCAACGTCAGAATGCTAACAATAGTACAATACTCTAGGACCTGTGGTGGTTCCAGATATCATCACTCATCATTTTCAAAAAGAGCAGCTAAAACATGTCAGTAACAACGACATATCCTAATGTTTGAATCCTTTGGTTCATACAGTTTGCAAACATCAACTATATACTGCCAGGTAGTCCAAAGATTATCTCAAGGAAATATATGCATTACTACAATTAAGAATGGCCTTTGATGGATAGAAATTTGTCCAATGTACTACTATTTCAAGCATTATAAACAATTTTCAGAAGGATGATGACAGAATCACACAATATGGAAGTGAAAATTAATCATCTATCACATTCATACCTTGCAATATCAAGAGCAAACCTAATTGCTTTTGATGGCTTTAATGCTCCTTTCCTTGTCAAATATTCACGGAGATCTCCCTGTATCAGTTTAGCATCTAAAGAAAATCAAAAGTTGATTTTAAATTCTTCACAAGAATACCCAAGAAAGTTATGATAAATAAATAGCAAGTTCTACTGGCCAGAGGAGTAGATTTTCAATAAAGACATCATTCATTCTTGTCAATTGCAAAGATGGGGCCAGATGTACGTTCCTACTTCAACATTTTTTTGCATCGCAGTCTTTTCATTTTTGGGAGACGCAAAAGTAAAACAATGTCAAGAATTCCACAAAGATCGAGAGTGAAATTTCAGCATCCGACATAGATTGTTTTCGTTTTCATAATGTGACAAAATCTAATAGGCACTAGGAAGGATGCAACAGTTACATGTTAGCAAGAGAAAAGATTTCCCCACTTGGACAACCTTATAGATGTCATTGTATTCAACTCTGCAAGCATTTTCTTCTCAAATTTCGATTCATTTGTTACTTTTGCTTTGAATTATATAAAGAATAATGGAGAGATATAAATGCAACTGCATGACACGTCCACTCTACTTGCATAACTCCAGTTTCAACATCTTATAAAAGAACATGTCAAAGTAAGAATGCAAATATAAAAATATTAAAAAGAGAGTACTCATCATTGGATTATTAACAAGCAATAGGGTTGTAATATTTATAAAAATATAAATATCGGAGGTCTGCGCTTCTGAAAAAGAACGCAGTAATCATGTTCAGGTGGATGTATATGTACTCAAATGTAGCTGCTACAAACGAGTTCCATGAATAGAGGCAGATGAGTACAATTGGAATAGACAGATAAAATAAATGATGAAATTTTGGAGCACAATGAAAGGGTTCAAAGACCAATACATGACCAATAACATGACAGGAGATATCAGCACAATGAAGGGTTCAAGAATAGTACATGAGCAATGACACTCATACCAAAGAAAGCATAAACAACGAGATAATGTGTATCACATGCTATTACTTCCCATGCGAAACTATAAGTGCAGAGATTTGTAAAATGTAGCCAGTGAGCAGATATTTCTTTGACAAGGGCATGAAAGATCCAAAAGCATCAAAGTTTCAACAAAAATGGGTAATTTTATAGCTGGATTTAAAACCTTTGGTAGATATTCCATCACTATCATCATTGGGCTGCTTTGAGTTACGGCACCAAGAAATTGGACAACATTTGGATGTCTAATCTTCTGAAGGATTGCAAGCTCATCTCTAAAAGCTCTCCTGCACCAAAACAATTCTTTTAAAAGGAAACATAATAATAATAATAATAATAATAATAATAATAATAATAATAATAATAATCATCATCATCATCATCATCATCATGCAAAAACCCATCGCAACATTTTAAACTCACACTTTCTCCTCATCTGCAAATACTTCCTCTTGAAACTTTTTCACAGCAACTTCAGTTCCACGCCACGATGCCAAACAGAAAGTCCCCTGACAAATATGCAGAGATTACTTCAGGTAGAACGGTTGGAAAATTTAAAGGGGATACAGCATGGTGTGCTTTTCACTAAAGTTCAGAAGAATGTATTTGGCAAATATTCAACCATGTAAATTATTAAGAGCAAATCATAATGAAAGAAGATGGGGGGAGGCTTAACTCCTTGTTAACTGATAGGTAACATTGGATTTTAGATACTAGAGCACCAAAAGTACAAGAACAATTTGGAACCCTATGGTTCAATTACTAAAACTTATGTCGCATACTACCCTCTAGGCACATTTCTATTTATGAAGGAAAGGCTCAAGTTACCAAATGGTTAATAATGAGAATTCTGATTGAGAGACAAAATCTCCTTAATTCCCAAACACATAGAGAACGGCTTGCTTCATCCCCCAAAAATCACAGTGGCTGCACCTGCATCTAAGCTAAACTCCATCCAACTGCCACCCAAAGTAACCTCAACTCAATCCTCTGGTCAAATGGGGGGAAAACTATTCCTGCGAGTTCACAATATCAGCACTCGTGCAACAAAACCATCTCCTGTCCTATTATCCTACATATCTTCTTTAATGCAATCCTCTCCGATTAAGTAATGTAATCATGCAAGCAATGTGTAACGAGTTACATTGCTGCAGCATCCGCACCATAGAACTGTTCACAACTTAAAATGCGTACACTCTGTTTGCAACTTGAGATATTTAACTCAGAACTGCAGCTTGTATTCTCACCACATTGTGCACGAAAAAAGTTGAGGGTTCAAGAACCAAACAAAGGCCACCTACAATTCAGCCGCCTCTATTATTAATATATCAAACATACACAATCGCAATGCCATCAATTTCTTTGACTTCTTCATCTTACTAAGAAAGTGCTTCTCCTGTATCAATAAAACTTGTTCAAGATTATAGTTATCTGAGAAAAAGATCTGTGAGATAAAATATAATTTCAGAGCATGTCTTACCATTCGTATTTTGTACCCCGTAAATAGAAAAGTAACCATGCAATCACCTCGCAATGAGCACTCAGCCAATCGAAGGTCATGATAATTCTAGGTTAAGCTTTGGATTGGGCATTCGGAACTCAACTTACATAAAACAAAATCTCTGAATTCCCATAAGTCTCATGTTTTTGAGAACATCCCACAATAAGCTTTTGAGAATAGTACTACACTCTTTAGGTTCTGTGAAATAGTGCAAAGATGGTTTAACCAGAAATAAGGCATGCAAGATCAGGCTTCAAAGTCAATGTGGGTAGTCAATGAGGAGATTATGGATTCCCAGCTCCAGAAATTCAAAAGTACAAAGGACCTAAGGGTGGTTGCAGTGCAGCTTCATCTGATTGATATTACTTACTAGGAGCAGTATATGCATCCAAAAATTATATCATGCAAATGAAAGCCCGGTTCCCTCATGCTTTTAGATGTAACAGAAAAATTGGAGGAAACAAAGTCAAGCGAGCTCGATTATTAACAGATCAGCCTCTGTGTAAATTAGTGATTGAATATTCAACGAGAAGAGATGTAGAGAAGGAATCGTGTGACTTGCAATAAATGAATGTTGTGTGCCAAAATACACTAATAATAATAAAGGCAGTGAGAACAAAATCTAAGTGAATGCTAATCTCTCCCCAAATCAAGAAGAAGCAAATGAATAAACTCTCTTTCCCCCCAGAGAACAAATGGATGAGCTCTTGTTTTTCTGAAGTTAAAAAAACTCAAATTTTTCAAGGACTTGAAAAATATAAATAGCCATCAGAAAGAGATTTTCTTACTTTTGTTATGTCCTTGCTGCTGGTAAAATCCAGATCCTTCGGGTTGATCTCATATTCTGGAACTTCTCGAGCGTGTTTGACATGCATCGGTGCCATCTTAAGTCATATATTAGCATTGTATTACATAGTAAAAACAACTCATGTCAGTAAAATGGAGTCAAAAGCAGTCCATGGCAAGAAAACAAATCAGGAAACATACCAAAGGTTTTGCACCATTTTCCTCCAGAAGTTTGATCACATGATGGTTTTTATAGTAGATAGCATCTGCAAGAGGCTGCTTGAACATTATTAGATCCTGAACTATAGTCATGGACAAATCTTAAGGAAATCAAGAGATAACAGTATAAACATATGTGCACTATGCAATAGCAGAAACACAGTAAATCACAAGTAATTAACAGACAATGGGGCATAACAAGAGTATATGGAGCCCATTGTACTAGCTCCACCAGACTAAATTATGTTAGAGACGAGCTGACTAAATCATATTCACAGAGACAAATGTCACTTAGAGAGAGAGAGAGAGAGAGAGAGAGAGTGCTGATTCTACTTCATCTTGACAGTTGGAGTAAATTGTCTATAAAACAGTTTATTAAAGCCTATATGTGCAGGCTTCAGGTTCTTATCGGACTGAATATTAAGGCTCTGTTTTGGCATCTTTTCTCATGTATCAGACAACTGACTGGTGCAGTGATGTTAATATGAACTTCTGCCTGAACATTGAGAAGCACTTTAGGTTCTAAGAAGTCCAATTTTCCTGGCCACTCTATCTCTATCCTGTCATTACATAAAATGTCTTATGGTGAAGAGACCAAGTTGTTTGGTTTATGCTCACAAAGGAGAACAAATTATTCTCTTGAAAGAGTATTTCACACATTGCTGCCACTAAATTTTAAAAGTAGCTGCAGAGAAGTTTGATTGATTAAGATACTGCACCAAACTAATGTTCCCGCGCTCATCAGGCATAAGTAATGGTCTCGCACTTGCCAATCATTGCTTCTTACAACAAGGAACAGCACCACATTACCAGGGACTGGCAATGATGGAGCTGCTAAAGAAAATAAGGAATTTGAGGGGGCAAAATGCAGTACATAGAAAAAGGGTCGAAATAGAATACATCACAGGCAGCATGAAGGAGGAATTTACAGCCTGAAGGGCAACAAAAAATTAGTTCTCTTTTCATCTACTTCGCCACCAAATTCACAATCCTCCTTTTACATAGATTTAGTAAATGAAAAACAAGTTAGAGCTTGAAGGCCCTGAGTAATGACAAAACAGAAGAAAGAAGAAAAGGGATGGCACTCAGTCATAGACACCAATGGCGAGCAAGCGTAAACAAACCCGCCGAATATTCACGCAGGAAACATACACCACTTATCCATTAAAACGCAAACACAGAAAGAATCCATCACAGAAACAGGAAATTTGTGGAGGCATTGATCTTACAGTGCTGCCCCATCGGTCTCTGCAATCAACAGTGGCCTTCCGTTCGATCAGCAAAGCGACGGCGTCCGCGTAACCCTGGCACGCGGCTATGTGCAGGGCGGTCCGGTCATCGATGTCCTTGAAATTGACATCCACCCCCGAATCCAATATATCGTTCATTCCTTCCAAGTCCCCCTCGTTCGCCAAGTACATCAGCCTCACTCCAGCATCAACCTCTTCGCCGCTCTCGATCTCGGTCAACCCCTCCAACTCGTCCCTGAGCCGCTCCGGCGCCAGAGACGACTGCTTCCCCAAGGTAAACCTCACCGGAGCCTTCGTCTCCATCGAATGCGGCACTAAAATCCTACTCTTCCCCCGAATAAAACGCTAACGGGAACAAATCTTCTATCAAATCCAACTTGATGAAAATGCAAGAAAAACCCCCACAATCTCCGCTCAAACACGTCAAGAAATGGAGACGACCCAACCCACCGAGCGCAGCGAGATCAGGACAGATTTTCCCACCGACCCACAAACTCCAAACGCCTTGCGGGTCAACAGACAGCAGAATTCAGAACAACGAACAGGGAGATCGCTGCGACAGAGAGAAATCACACCCAGCAAGCACAGCAAACCGCGGAGATTCTTGGGTTGGGCGCGGACCGAAGCTAGAGAGACACTGACAACGAAATCTGGGTATGCCTGAAAATGGAGCCTTTGCTGCTCAGGCGATGACTTTATACACACAGAGAAGAGAGAGAGAGAGAGGGGTCAGCGTCGATGACGAAAAGTACCAATGGGGTGAGCGAAACAATGGAGGAAAGTGGGAAGAAGAAGAAGGAGAAGAAGAAGAAGAGAGGGAGAAACTTCAAAGGCAAGTTGGGGGGAAGGAGCTAGCTCCACCACAGCAGGCACAGGAGCGTTGACGAAAGTTTGAACGCGCACGGCGGCGGAGGAGGAGCATGACGGCGAGTGTGGCCCACGCGCCACACGCGGAGGCGCGTGGGGGGGGGTGGTACGTTTTCCGGGCGACCCGGCACGAGCTGGCGGCTTTTACTCGGCTTCGCTGGATATTCTTCCTTGTTTTTTTTTATTTTATTTTTTTTTTTTGGAAGTCGTGGGAAAAATTTGTAACGGCGTTACGGGTGCCGCGGCGCGAGATGACGGCGACGCCGACCGCGGACCCGTTTTGGATAGATCTCCCTTCGATTCGTTGGTGGTGGCATTGACAGCGATGCTTAACAAAAGTCAAACATGGCAATTGTTCACCCACATCGCTTTGACATGAATCGGGATTGGATAAATCAGAGAAAATATTAGGTGGTCCGGGACATCCACGTCAGCGTGGCCCGAACCACTCATGAAGCGCCACGTGGATCACGTGGCGCTTGTGGGGCCGACTCGTTAGGAGGAACTTTTTGCACAAAAAAAATTAATATTATTTCTCTCTCATTAGCCATTAGCCCTGCACGCTAATTGCTCCTCTCTTCAAATTTTTGCCTCTTTTCTCTCTCTTCATTAATTGCTGGCCTTCTTCTCCCTTCGTTCGCACGAAAGCCCTCTCGCTCCCTCTTCAATTATATGACACTCTCTCTCCTCTCTCTTCTCTTCTGCATCTTCTGAGAAATAGAAGAAGCCCGCTCTCTTTTTTTCCAAAATACTTTCCCCGCCTCTCTCTCTCTCTCTCCCTCTCTCGCTAACAAGAGCCCCGCGGTCGCATCCCGAGCCCAGACCCAGCGCCTCTGCATCCGCCGTCGCCTCCAGAGCCACTCCCTCTTTGTCGCTTTGAAGAGCCCTCGTCGATGGCATCCCGTGCTCATATCCGACTGCGGAGCCCAGACTCGGCGCCTCCGGCACGTCGCCTCCGCCTCCGCATACGCCGTCGCCTCTAGGAGCCACTCCCTCCCTCTCTCTCGCTCCCAAGAGCCTCTTCCGGTCGCATCTTGAGCTCAGCTCCGCCTCCGCCATCCCCTGCCGATTGTCGCTGCCGGGTCTCGAGCTCATACCCGCCTCCGGCACGTCGCCTCAGCCTCCGCCCTCCTTTTGCATTATTCTCTTAGATTTCCCGAGCAGAGGGCCCGAGATTTGGAAAATCCCGTCGTGTAATTGTGTAATAGTTTGAGGTTGATCCTCATGATCATTTTGGTTTTTTGCGAGGAATTCTCAGTTTCTTTTGATGGTTTATGTCGTGCTCTTGTTCGTCGGAATGTGATACTTTGAAGAGAGAAGATATATTTTCGCAGTTCTTGTTTCTGGGCTTTTTTCTCTTATCAAGGTTTGTTCTACTTGTCATTGTCATCTTATTTTCAAGTTTGATCTTTAATATTGAAGGAAGCTCGGGACAAGCAACTGGATTCTTTGATGTTATAACGATATCCAATGCAAGTAACTAGGCTGTCAAAGTTATTCAAGAGTGGGTTGCGATTTTTTATTTCATCGTACTGAACCCGCTAAAATTTACGAAGAAAGGGGACAAAAAGAGCCAGTGAACTTTATCCTGCTTATAATTGGTTCTGCTAGTACAAGAAGCAGCAGGAGTCAACATGCTCTTTACAATGCTTTCCAAATATCATAGCATTAAAAGTTTTCCAGTTTTAGCTTAGCCTTTTAGTTTTACAAGGGCAGCCAAGACCTCATCTATGCGTGGTCGGTTTGCTAGATCTGGAGAAGTACACTAATGAGCCAGTTGGAAAAGCTTTTCTATGTTTTTCTGCTGTTCCTTGGAAACATTCGAAGCTAGCAAAGGGTCCGAGATTTGGCACATCCAGGGGCTGCCTTGCAGAGGACAGCGCACCAAGATCAATTGCCGGACACTGAAGGGCAATGAAGCAAAGCAAAACAAACACAAGTTAACAGCGATAATGCTTGATTAAAAAACAAACAATGTACAGCCTACCTAAACTGAAGGAGAACTTTTCGACCAAAAAAAAAAACTGAAGGAAAACTTCGACAAAAAAACAACTGAAGAGAACCGGTTGCACTCCGGCACATCCTACATATAGGTAGGTTACAAACACCACCCTCATAAACCCAAGTAGAACAAACGATACACTATTTTCTTGCAAAACGAGACTAAACTGCAAATACAAGTGAAAGTTCCCAAGTCCATGCGCTTCCATTTCACCTAGACTTCGTCTCATCTGCCGCTGGGGAGAAAATGAACACACGAGAAGGAGAACGCTCAGCTCAGTTATGTGCTAAACCCAAAATGCCATGGCGGAGGCGGATCTGAGCTCGGGATGCGACCGGCGGGGCTCTTGGGAGCGAGCAAGAGGGAGGGAGTGGCTCCTGGAGCAGAGAGCGAGCGAGCGTCGGATTTTTTCAAACGAGCGCCGGAGCGAGCGTCGGAGCAGGGGCGGCTTAACGTGCTTCGTCGGCGACGGCGGGGAGCAAGGAACGCCGAAGCAGCAACAACGCCACGGAGCAAGGGCCGGAGCAACCAGGAACGCCGAAGCCGAGAGTGAAATTTGAGAGCGAAGTTACAAATTCAAAATAATTTGAAAGCAACGCCGAACGCGTTGGTTTTCTTCTGATAATGAGTAGGAAAGAACGAAAGAGAGGAGAGAGGAGAGAAAAGAGGTGAGGGGCTAGCCTGCAGGCCTAAGGAGAGAGAAATAAATTAATTTTTGTGCAAAAATTCCACCTCAGTTGAATGGGCCCCCACATACCCAGGTGGCGTTTCATGATTGGTCCGGGATCACGCTGACGTGGACGTCCCGGACCACCTAATATTTTCTCCTTCACCAGGGTGGTGAGCATCGGGTCCGGTTCTATCTCGGTTCTCGGTCAAAAATCCGGAACCTACCCGCCGTTCGCCGATTTTAAAATTGCATGTCCCGAAGTTCGTGCGTGTTGAAAATGATAAAAAAGAGACTAATCACGTTGTGAAATGCGTGTCGGATTTCGTGTCCAAAATCCACCGAATATGGTAGAAGGATTTTGTTTTATGGTATAAAATGTATAAACATGTTATTAAAAAACACTTTTGTACGTATGGAGAATTGAGCCATAGTCTTCAACACGAGGAAACATCGGTATATCCACTTGACCAACATATCTTTTTTATAGTAAAATGATGTAACGATAATATTTTATTATAAAGAACTGATTTCTCTGTGACAAAACAAAATTTGGACCTAGTAAAATTGGGAACCAGACTAGAAAGGCCAGTTCCCGAACTGCCCAATCTAGTTCCTGATTCCAACTTTTTGAACTCGACTCACCTGGGGCTATGGAATCGGGAACCGACCCACCCGAGTATTGATATCCCTAATCTTTATTGGATGGACGGAACAAATCGAAACTATCATACTAATATGTCAGTTTAATAAAGACTCGATCCCTAATTTTGATGTTTTGAATTTAGCTAATGAAATGTCGTATGATTTAATACATAAACACAAAAATTTCGTGTGGGAAACTTTATCACTTCGATATCACTATTCGAATCAAAGATTGATTTCATTGTTACAACCATCCAACAACTACTTCTCATTCAACTCAACAAAAACTTTGTCCAAAAACAAAAACTCAATAAAAACATAAATTTCATTAAAAAAAAAAAAGAAACTCGAAAAAAATAGAGTTAAACTCAAGATGGTATCTCTCCCACTTCCGACAATATCAGTGCTCTTACAAGAAAATGGTGAGCCATGATCCCGACTGAAGAGGACATTTCTTCTGTTTATAGACTGCGGGCCATAAGATCCTGTCATGAACAACTGGAACAAGGATGACTATATTTTATTTAGGGTTAATATCATGAAAAATCTCAAACTGATATACATTTGACAAATTTACCTCGAATTAATTTTTTAATTACCAAAAACTCCAAACTGATACATTTGTAACAAATATACCCTCCGTTAGTTTCCGTTAAATTTTACTATCGAATTGCTTATTAAATGACACATGGCAGTTGACAAATGTATCAGTTTAGAGTTTTATCCTTCGTTTGTCCCAGGTGTACTATTTGTGATTTTTTTTTGTATTAATTCAATTTAATGGATGGTAAATTTGTCATAAATATACTAGTTTGAGGGTTTTTGTGGTAAAAAATTTAGTTTTTGGTAAATTTATCATAGGTGTACCAGTTTAAGGTTTTTGGTGGTCAAAAAATTAGTTTAAGGTAAATTTGTCACAAGTATACCAGTTTGGAGTTTTTCGTGGTATTAACCCTTTTAGTTATGTTAGGATCAATAATGCGAATTGAAAAATAGTATCGAGGTTTTATGTATTCAAATAGATACGCACGGTCTCGACTTTAGTCGTTCAGAGATTTCTCTGGGGACGAGCAATATGGGACCTTTTTCTATTTTTATTTCTTTTTGTCATGTCGAGCTTAGTGAATCGGTCCATGAAGTGGAAATCAAAACCCATGTTCTAATTCAAGGAAAAGGAGACAAGAAAAGTGAAAAAAAAGGGTTAATTTACGAAAAACCACCCCAATGTTACCTATGACAAATTTTTCCCAAATTAATTTTCTGACCATTAAAAACCCCAAACTGGTACACATGTAACAGATTTATCCTAAACTAATTTTTTAACCACAAAAAACCTTAAACTGATACATTTATAACAAATTTGCCTTCCGTTAAATTGGATTAATATCACGAAAAATCACAAAATGATATACCTATGACGAATGGAGGGTAAAACCCTAAATTGATACACCTGTCAATTGCCATGTGTTATCCAACTCAGAAATTTAAAGGTAAAATTTAACTGAAATTAATAGAAGATAAAATTATCATAGGTTTACCAGTTTGAGGAATTTCGTGGTCAAAAAATCTGTTTGGGGTTAATTTTGTCATAAGTATACCAATTTGGAGTTTTTCGTGATATTAACAAAACAAAACAAAAAAAGAACAAACCCTTTTGCACTTCATATTCTCTTTCAGTTAGATGTAGACTTGGCTTAATAATTAGAGGTGTGCAAAACGGACCGCTCACACCGAGAATGGCCTAGACCGGACCGGCCGGTTTGATCCAATTCCTAGGAGTGTCGATTCGGTTCCTGGTTCCTAAAAGTGGAATCGGTGTTTGGGCGGTCCGGTTCCCGATTCCAAAGGAAACTGGTCCGACCGAATCGAATCGACTACATATACTTTTTTTTGTGATTATGTGTAATCGATATGGAGAATATAATTCCAATTTTAGAACATATTTGTAGTCAGCATGAGGAACACAATTTGTCATTGCATTGGCTCGAATTGCATGCTTGTTTTTGTGATTATGTGTAGTCAGCATGAAAAACACAATTCTAGTTTCAAAATATATGGTATCAAGTAGTGGGAAAAAAAGTGACTGACTCCAAGTCCTAAGACCAATCGGTCCTGTGACATTCCGAATTTTGGCCCATTTTTGGGATTTATAAAACGGGTATTTCGTCAGTGCGCTTATAGTAAAAATCTCGCCCGGGAACTGATCACTCCCGGTTATTATTTTTAAATCTTGAGATTTCGCTAGAATCGCATTCGATCGGGTGGCCGTTATTTAGACCCCCGAACTTGACGATCGATTTTCGGGAGTTTCGGGACGAAATAAATTGGACGGTGTCAATATTATCGTAGCCAGCGTTGAGATTGTCAGGAATAATGGAAAAAGGGGAGTTTTTGACCGGGTGCGAATTTGGACTAGTAGACCTCCCTCGATATAGTTTGATTTAATTAATTCGGCCTTTGTCCCTTTTTATATGCGAGGCTTATCTTGGACCGGTAGATCGCTTTCGGTTTTGAATTTGGGTCATCGGATCGCATTTAATATTTGAATCGCGACCGTTAAATCGATTTTTAGTTTAAACCGTGTCCGTTGGATCGCGCTCGAAGATAAAAATTATCTTTTTCTTTCTCTCTCTCTCCTCTCTCCTCTGCGCCGCGCCACCCACCCCCGTGCAACGTCCCTTCGCGCACGTCTCTCTCTCTCTCTCTCTCTCTCTCTCTCTCTCTCTCTCTCTCTCTCTCTCTCTCTCTCTCTCTCTCTCTCTCTCTCTCTCCTCGGCGCGCCGTCTCCTCGGCCACGCCCATGCGGACCTACCCCGACACTCTCTCTCTTACTTTCTCCTTTTCTTCTCTTTCTTCTTCTTCCTTTCTCTTCTTCTTCTTCCTCGCCGCTCTGTTCCGGCCTCTGCGTCCGCTCTTCCTTTTCCCTGTTGCCCGACGCCGATCGCCCGAGCTCGCCTGGCCGTGCGCGCCGCCGTAGCTAGCTCGACCGCCGCGCCGCACCGCCTGACCAGCCGCTTGCAGTTCCCTCGGCCGCCCCGTCACCTGGTCAATCTCCCCTCCCCCGACTCCCGTCCACCGCAGCTCCTTCCCGCCTCCGCAGCCCGCTGCTCGACCGCCCTTCGCCTCCGCCCGACGCCGCCCCCACGATCGCCGTCGCCGCCCTTCGTCCTCACTCTCGCCGTCGTCGAGCCGCCGCGTCGCCCGGCCGATTCCGCCCAGCCTTTGCCTTCCTCCCTCCCGCCGCGCGAGCTCATTCGCCGCCGCTTGCCGCCGCGTTCGGCGAGTCCCGGCCCGCCCAGTCCGGTCGTCCGGCCCGGCTCCCAACTCCGCCCCGACGCCTGAGTGTCGTTGTCGCCGCCGCCGGTTCGACCCCCCTGAGCCCCCAGCTCGCCCCCTCTCGCCACCACTGCCCCTGCTTTCTTCCTCTCCCCTACAGTCTCCGTTGCCGCCGTCGTGTCGCCTCGCCGGCCAGACCCGGCCAAGCCCGGCCCGGCCGGTCGGCTGCCCGGCCCGGCTAACCCAGCGGCCCGGCCCCGGCTGCCCGAGCTCGCCCGGCCAGCGACCATTGCTTTGCCCGCCGCCAGTAGCTTCGCCTCCGTCGCCGTCCGGCCGTCGTCCCGGCCAGCCCGGCTGCCGACCAGCCACCGGCCAGGGCAGCTCGCCCGGCAGAGCGTGCCCAGCCGTGCTCGAGGCTCGCCGGTCGGCGTCCCGGGCCGTGGCCGAGCTTGCCCGGCGCCGTGCTCGTCCGACCCGGGCGCGTCGCCCGTCCGACCGGGCGCGTCGCCCGGCCGTGGCCCGCGCCTTGCCCGTTCGGCCCGGGCACCTCGCCCGTTCAACTTGCCGTGCGCCGGGCATGCCGTTCGGCCACCACGCCGCGCGCCGGGCGCGCCGTCCGGCCATTGTGCCGCGTTGGCCGGCCGCGCGCCCATTGACCCGTGCCCGCGCCTAGTTCGGCACTGTTCACCCGGGCCATTTTAGGCCCGAGCCGATTTTCTCCGGGCCAAAACCAAGTAAGTGACTTCCTAAACCCTACCTAGTACTTTGGGTATTTTTAGACTTGTTTAGGATGTGATTAGTATCGGGTTAGGAATTAATTTAGGCGTGGGCTAATTAGATTGAGGGTGCCCAATTTGTGAATTATTGTGGCGGTAATTGTGTGACTAATTTAGTGATTTACTGAGATAAATATGCCTGACTGAATTGTTGTGGCGCTTGTGGGTGAATTGAATTAATTGAATGTGCCGACATGAATGTCGGGTCGGTGGGCCGATGTCGGGAGCATGAATTGAGTTGACTGATGTGGCGTGCTAGATTGACATTGGTGAATGGGTGGTGATTGAAATTGATTTATATGACTAAGAGCATGGTGAATTTTGTATTGTGGTGCATGTGCATGAGAAAAGCCCGGATCGATCGGAGGGCTGACCTGTGGGGTGTTGACCCGGGTCGTGTGAAAGTTTGTTTGTGAAAGGTCCTGTGGGGTGTTGACCCGGGACAGAGCCCGGATTGATCGGAGGGCTGACCTGTGGGGTGTTGACCCGGGTCGTGTGAAAGTTTGTTTGTGAAAGGTCCTGTGGGGTGTTGACCCGGGGATGAGCCGGATTGATCGGAGGGCGGCACGTGGGGTGTTGACCGGGTCGTGTGAAAGTTTGTTTGTGAAAGGTCACGTGGGGTGTTGACCGGGACGAGCCGGATCGATCGGAGGGCGACTGTGGGGTGTTGACCGGGTCGTGTGAAAGTTTGTTTGTGAAAGGTCCGTGGGGTGTTGACCGGGACGAGCCCGGATCGATCGGAGGGCGACACTGTGGGGTGTTGACCGGGTCGTGTGAAAGTTTGTTTTTGAAAGGTCACGTGGGGTGTTGACCGGGACGAGCCGGATTGATCGGAGGGCGGCACTGTGGGGTGTTGACCGGGTCGTGTGAAAGTTGGATGGATGCGCATGTGAGATGTGTTTGGGTTGAATTGGATGAACGTACGTGTGTATGGCGCTCGAATGATTTTGATGTGTTCATTGACTATTATTGCATTATTATGATTTGACTAATGTGCAGTGTGGGCATGTGGTTGGATGGCGAGGTAAGTCCATTTATGTGAATTATATATATGTAATCGGGTAGATTGCATGTACGACTTATGCAGGTACGCATTGGCCTATGTGGGGTATAGGGGTTACTTATTGAGACTCGTTCTCACGGTTATTATATAACCATTTTCAGATCTGCTGACCACTGATTGATTGGAGACGACACCGGGGGTATCTCGGGGATGGAGGACGGGTCAAGTTACCCCATATTTTATGTGCCCCTCTTTTGTATAGCGAAGTAGGATACCCCACCACTATTCCCTTTTGATGTTGTGTATTTGGAATTATTGTTTTGTGCTATCCCTTTGTCATATTTTATTGTCTGGGTTGTTTTAAATTCGCTTCCGCTTGCCTTTATCGTTGGGTGTTTCGTTTGGGTCGGCGACGCGTCCTGGGACGTCGCGTTCAATACGACCGTCGAGGGATGACCGCGCGCTCGTAGGGTGCGGGGCGTGACATCCCCGTTGATTTGGTATCGAGCAAGGTCGGCTCGATCCAAGTGGTCGAAACACTGGAGTGATAAGGAGCGATGACTTTGGGGTAGCTAGTTAGGGAGATTTGTGTGCCATGCGTACCCCCAGGACCGTGTGATTGTGATTCTTTGAGTGATTATATGCAATGACATGTGAAATGCGGGTGCGTCGGGACTTGAGGTAAGTGCGTGAAACACGTTGGTTGTGATTGAGTGATGTTGGTGATTTCTTTGCTGCTTTGTGAATTGTGGTTGTGATTTGGTGTCATGGATGATTGACTATCTGCTAAGTGAATTGTGGTGATTCACTGCCTAGGGCTTGGGATTGGTATAGTTGGCCTAGGTCTTTAATTCCCGAGGGGAATTATAGCAGGTAAGTGGGTGGTGTGAACCCTTGAACCTTGTGAGGTTGAGTAGTCGAGGTAGAGGTCGAGGTTGAGGTCGTGTAGGTCCGCAAGTTGGAGTTGCAGAGGATCCCAGATGGGATGAGATTTTGAGGGCACTCGAGGAAGTTGGAATTTTAATGAGAAGGCAAATTGAGGAGCGAAATGCTACTGTCGCCGCTGCAGCTGCCAGCGAGATTATTGGGAATAATGGAGGTCAGGGGAATAATGTGATCGGTAAAAATCCTGGTCCAGTGCGAGTAAATGTGAACATGCCAATGTCCAAGCTAGTCGAGCAGTTTTTGAGGTTGAAACCTGCAAGGTTGAATGGGAAGAGGTGACCCTGAAGCTACATTACTTTGGATAGAGAATCCCAAAAGTAGGATATTTCGAAGGGCATATTTCCAAGCTGGGGTGTCGTTATCGAGGCCTTCAATGGGAGGTACTTTCAGAGAGCACGTGAGGACAGAAAATGATATAGTTTCTTTGGCTTCGCTAGATTCGGATGTAATCGATCAATACGAGGTCGAGTTTATAAGGTTGCCTAAGTACGAACCAAGGATGGTCAAGGACCATGTGGATAGGACAAGGAGGTTTCGGGATGGATTGGAACTGGAATTCCGCAATCAGTTAGTATTTTTGAGTCTTAAGGGATTACAATGAGTTGTATGAGAGAGCTCGATGGTTGAGACGGATACGAGTGAAAGGGCTACCGAAATGGATCGTGGTACACGCCGACTAGGGACAATAGGAACTTTGGAAAGAAGCCTATGACAGAGAATCAGAGATTTGTCCCTCTAGTAACAAAGAACTTTGGGGAGCCGAATTACTATTCCAACGCCGCATGTCGGTCTTAGGGAAAGAGGCGTAGGAATGACCATTGCCAAGGTGGAAGTGGAGCATGTTTTGGATGTGGCCAACATGGTCACCAAGTGAGAAATTGTTGATTCAACAGGTTAGACCACTGATGCAATTGCAGCAACCGCAAGTAGGACATTAAGCGGGAACTGCCCCGCAGAATAATCAGAATCGGCTACGGACGTAAGGAAATGTGTATGTTGTGATTGGGAAGGAATCAGAGAATTTGTCTTAAAAGCCTAGATGCATTATGTGATGCACGACGTATAATTGCTTATAATGGGTAGGCGCAATAGGTTTAAGGATTTCTAAATTACTGACGATATTCTTGGACGAGTCGGGAAGGATATGTGTTGCTTGGAGATTTCAGATTTTGTAAAGGACTAAGGCGATTATTTTGAGAGACCATTGGATTGAAATTGGATGGGTTGAGCTTTGTCTTCGAGGTGTAAAAAGGTGATTATTTTGTGGATGACTAGTTGGTTGAGGAACCAAGGCTAAAGGACATAACCGAGTTGTGTAACCTTCCCGATGTCTTTCCTCGGGAATTGCCGGGATTGCCACCTAATAGTGAAGTGGAGTTTGTGGTTGAGTTGGCCCTAGGGACGGAACCAATTTCGAAAGCGCCCTAAGGATGTCGTTGTCCAGAATTGAAGGAATTGAAGGTTCAAATGCAAGAATTATTGGAAGAAGGTTTTATTCGTCTATGTAAGTCTCCATGGGGAGCGCCAGTTGTATTCGTGATGAAGAAGGACAGATCGTTAAGGTTATGTAGTGACTACAAACAGTTGAATCAGGTGACTATTAAGGATAAACGCCTGTTGCCAAGGGTAAATGACATGTTCGACCAGTTATAAGGGACATCAATATTTTCTAAGATTGACTTGAGGGGTGGTTTCTACCAATTGAGGATCAAGAAGGAGGACGTGCCGAAGTCGGCATTTAGGGCAGTATGGACGCTATGAGTTTACGGTGATGCCGTTTGGGTGACGAATGCCCTGCTGACCTTTATGGATTTAATGAATCAGGTACTTAAGGAATTTCTGGATTAGTTTGTAATCGTGTTCATAGACAATATCTTGGTATACTCGCAGAGTCCCGCTAAGCATAAGTTACATTTGGAAAAGAGATCTATGGACTTTAAGGGAACACGCACTCTATTCTAAGTTTAATAAGTGCGAATTCTGGCTTCATTGAGTGGCGTTCTTAGGACATGCGATACTGGGGAAGGGATTGTAGTGGATTCGACAAAGATTGAAGCCGTCACGAATTGGCCGAGGCCGACGTCAGTAACCGAGGTTCGGAGCTTCTTGGGTCTAGCAGGCTATTATAGGCGCTTCATGGAAGGGTTTTCGGCACTAGCTACGCCGTTGGCACGGTTGATAAAGAAGGAGACGAGGTTTGAATAGACGGATGAGTGTGAAAGGTGTTTCCAAGAATTGAAACAGAGGTTGACGACCGCGCCAGTGTTAGCGATCTCGTCAAGTCCGGGAGGAATTGAGAATCACAGTGACGCGTCGTTAGGAGGATTGGGATGCGTGCTAATGCAACACGGGAAAGTAGTGGTATATGCATCGTGTCAATTGAGACCGTATGAGCTGAACTATCTGATGCATGACTTGGGATTGACCGTAATTATATTTGTCCTTAAGATTTGGAGGCATTACTCGTGTAGGGAGAAATTTTAGATTTATACAGATTATCAGAGTTTAAAGGTATCAGTTTTCTCAAAAGAACTTAGCCTCGAGACAGGCGTCCTTGGATGGAACT